AGGGTTGAGGGTTTTAGGATTTTAGGGTTTTAGGGTTTAGGGTTTAGGGTTGAGGGTTTTAGGATTTTAGGGTTTAGGATTTAGGGTTTAGGGCTTAGGGTTTTGAGGGTTTAGGGTTTAGGGTTTTGAAAGCTTACCCAGGGGGTCCACATATACAACCATTAGGGACTTGGGACACATAGGGATTATAGGGGTTATATAGGGATTATAGGGAACATATTGGGGTAATATTACGGGTTTAGAGCGCTTTAGGAGTCCACATATACAACCATTAGGGAATTGGGACCCATAACTCCTTTTATAGTATGGTATTTTGGGGCCGAATTCCCTAATAGTTGTATATATGGACCCTCTAGGTTAGGGTTTTGAGGGTTGAGGGGTTTAGGGGTGTAGGGCTTAGATTTATTATTTTGTGTTTTGAGGTTTAGGGTTTAGATGGATAAGGGATTCAGGGCTTAGGATTTAGGATTTTGGATTTCAGGCTTTAGGTTTAGGAGTTTAGGGCTTAGATCTTAGGATATTTAGGGTCTAGGCTTTTGGGTTTAGGGTCTAGGCTTTGGGGTGTAGGGTGAATGGATTGGGGTTTAGATTTTGGGCTTTTAAGGTTTGAGTCGTTTTCCTGAGCCCTTGAATTTTGCAGCCTAGTCTTCCAGCCTTCTTTCCAAAACCCATATGCTGCCTTTATTCCCTTTGGATCCCAAATCCTAACCTCAACCCTGACACCACAAACCCTAAATCCCCCCAAACCCTGGCCCCCAAAAATCCTAAACCCTAAATCCTAATCCTAAACCTTAAATCCTAAACCCTAAACCCTAAATCCTAAACGCTGAACCCCCTAACCCCCCTTCTCTAAACCCAGCGCGCTGATGCCCAGGAACGGGATCCTCTCTGTTTCCTATGCGGGCAAGGGGAGAGTTGTCACCTGCTCTGGCGACAAGGCTTTGAGCTTGCCTTCCCTTTATCCTGAGCTTACTGGTTCTGAATACGGGGGAATATGTATATATGGTAGTTTCCCCAAATAGGGGGATCCCAATCTAGACCCCCAAATACTATAATCCTTTTTGTGGGGATCCCCAAAAAGGTACCCCTAATTTGGGGAATCCCCCATATATATATATATACATATATACATATACACGTATGTTTAGGGTTTAGGGCTTAGGGTAGGGAATGAGGGAATATCTTATGTAGGGATGATATTCCCTCATTCCCTACTCAGAACTAGTAAGTAAGGCTCCAAGGAGTCCCAAATTTGAAGAAATTTGGGCCCTGATTCGAGACAATTACCAGGTCTTCAGGCAATTTGTGAGCCGTAGGTCAGGCTAGGAGGGAACCTTGTAGAACCCTTTTTGACAGGACGGTGTGCGTCACGGGGTGTTTTTTGAAGGTGCCATGTTACTTTGTTTGTGGGAGGGTGTAGGGTCCCTAGTAGTGGGCAGTTCGGCTACAATCAATGGCGGGGTCGTTTCCTCTAGCTAGGATCGAAGGGCTAGCAATACCCTTGCATTCCTCAACTCGAGCTACTTGAATTTTTCAATCTACTTGCAGGGTATGCTGTTGTAATATAGTAGTTTCCATTTTCCTTTCCATTATTTTAATATAACCCCAATACTCTTTCTATCGTCCCTACATCCTTCGAGGGGCAAGAGGCTGAAGTCGGCAGCAAAAAGCCGGCTACGCATGAAGCAGTAGGCTATAGTCCCCCCTTAAGTAGATAGAATATTGCTTTGGATATGTTATAATATAATCCCCATATACCCCATATTCTATCTACTTAAGAGGGACTATAAGCATGTGAAGCCCAAGAAGTGTCCAGGGCCCTCATCAGGCCCTCGAACCCTTAAAGCCCACAGTCCCCCTACATAGAACATGGAACTGCACAGTATCATAATAAGAGCCCCATATACCCCATATTCTGGCTACTTAGGGGGGACTATATGAATCCTGAACACCCCCCCCAAGCGTTTAAGCCCTCATGACCCTTGATACCTTACACTGCTCCGCAGACCGTGAAGATGTGGGACTACACTGACACCTCAAAAGACGCGCTTCTCCTGGGTGAGATGAAGACACGAGGCATCAAGGAGTCTACCTTGATCATGAGGTTTAGGGTTGAGGGTTTAGGGTAGATCTTTATAGGGCCCCAGATTTTTCACAGACCCTCCAAGATAGTGGTACTTAGGTTCTTGCATGACTTTTAGTATCAAATGCGTCTTGTTGCCTAGTACCTAGTATGAGAGTCCCTGAAAATCGTTAAGTTTTTGGGTTAGGGTTTGAGGCGGCGGTTGAGGAGGATGTCCCCCAGAATTTCCATGTGTGGAATGGTCATCGAGCCTAAATTTAATTGCCTTTAAGGTTGCAACCACAACCCTAAACCCAACCTAAGAAGGATTGTTGGAGCGCTTTCTAGAGTGAAGCCTTCAGCAAAAAGCCACAGTTGATGAAAAAACTCTTGCACCGCCTAGGGTGGGACATCCCATGCTGTGGTCTCAACGAATCTGGTCGGCGTCGTGCGATCTCGTGCCATCTCATCAGCGCGGATTAGTTAGTAAGACAACATTAAATGCTGGCTGATGGCGCCCCTGAATTAGTGTAGGTTTTGGGGAGGGGCCTTGATCGGCGCAGGACTTCTTCCATCAACGCTATCAGGGCAACAGAAAAGTCTCCTCTTCAAAGGGGCGTTAGTCTTAGTCAGGCCCCCTTTGGTTTAAGGAGGATGCTAGCCTCTTCGAGTCAATTCGTGTTCTGAAGCTTGGAGAAGTTCTGGATGTGCACATGTAATCACATATTGCGAATATGGGTATGTATATATATATACATACACAAATACGTACAGGTATACAAACAGCGGCAGCAGCTGAACTTCTAAGTGTCTTCAGCGCGCCTCATCCCAAAGCCCTAAAACCATAACATGCAGCACATACAGAGCGCATGGGCGTGTCTTAAGTTTGCACCTTCTCGGTCGAGCCCGGGTATGATGCAGGCCCGCTGTTCGCCAAGACGATTTACGTAAAATAACCACCCTAAAAGGGTCCAAGTACTTAATAGTCTTATACTTGTCCAGCACCTGCACTACAATCTAAACCTGTACTACAACTACAATTACCAGAGTCCCAAGTATCCTCTTATTTGTACTTGGACTCTTGGAGCTCATTTTGTAAGCAGTAGTTTTGCTTATCAGGAGCCCTAAGACTTCCATTTCAAGATAGTTTCCAGGTTTAGGGTTTAAGGTGTAGAGCCCGAAGAGATTAGGTGTTTGGGTTTAGGGGTTTAGAGGCTTAGGGTTTAGGGGTTTAGAGTTTAGGGTGTAGGGGTTTATGGTTTAGCGGCTTTGGGTTCAGGGAGTGGTTCCTGAGCACCAGCACGAAGGGGGCAGAGCTGTGCTAAGACACTGCGCTGATGTGTTGCAGGCATCGCCAATGACGCGTGCATGATTGATGAGGACGCCATGTGCCCCCATGCGCCTTCTTAGAGTGTACTGCTCCATGCTTGCTGACCTTATAGTCCCCCTTAAGTAGATAGAATATGGGATATATGGGGATCTTAGTATAATATACCCAAAGCCATATTCTATCTACTTAACGGGGACTATATATATATTGTCAATACTAGGTAAACTAAAA